TGGTTCTATCCCTCCTTCCCAAAGCCCAATGCAAACCATCTCCTCTCTTCTGACACACTCACGCACGTGACTCACACGTCTTGAATTCACTAGCAGGTGAACTCAGACTGGTCCTGTGGGCTCACAATTGTTAGCACATGCTGCCCTAAAACTCAGCTTATTCTATATGCCAAATAGTGTTTTATTTGACCTTCATTTATTTAATAGCTATTTATCAAGCATCGACGATTATTAAGCCCCGTGTGAGGTGCTTGCACCTTTTTGTATCTCATCATTTAGTGCAGAAAACAAACAGACAGGAAGCGGTGACAAACGCAACAGAGGGTTAGTTGTGAACATGCCACTGCACTCCGGTCTGGGTGACAGAATGAGACCCTGAATAAAAAAAACAAAGAAAGCCGGGTTCGGTGGCTCAGCCTGTAATCCCGCGCCTTTGGGAGGCTGGGTGAGTGGATTGTCTGAGCCCGCGGGTTCGAGACCCGCCTGGGCAGCGAGACCTCATCTCTACAATAAGTCAAAAAATCAGCCGGGCGTGGTAGCGCATGCCTGTAATTCCGGCTACTCGGAAGGCTGAGGCGGAAGGATGGCCGGAGCCCAGCAGGTCGAGGCTGCGGTGGCCGGGAGCGGCCACTGCACTCCAGTCTGGGCGACAGAGTGAGACTCCAACTCAAAAAAAAGAAAAGCACAACCAGGTGTTAATGTAGAAAGTGTCAAATACTCCAGGAAATATAGCAAAGTAAGGGGACCCACACACTACTCTTTCCTTAAGAAGTTGCATTAGTGAAGACACGAAAAATGAAGAGAGAACCAACTAGAGAGAAAGAATGTCAGGCGCTCCAGGCAGGGGGAACAACATAGATAAAACCTGGAGGTGAGAGACCATTGGGAGTACTGAAAAAACCCCAGGACAGTTGAGGTGGGGAGATTAAGAAGAGTGTGGGCCGGGTTTAGTGGCTCAACCTGTAATCCCAGCATTTTGGGAGGCGGAAGTGAGTGGATTGCCTGAGTCTGCGGGTTCGAGACCAGCCAGGGCAACTTGGCGAGACCTCTTTTCTACAACAAATAGAAAAAAATTAGCCAGGCATGGTAGCGTGCGCCTGTACTTCCGGCTACTTGGAAGGCTGAGGCAGAAGGATCGCCTGAGCCCAGCAGGTCGAGGCTGCAATGACCATGAGTGTGCCACTGCACTCCAGCCTGGGCAACAGAGTGAGACTCCAACTCAAAAAAAAAAAAAAAGAAAAAGAAAGAAAAGAAAGAAAGAAGAGTGTGGCAGTCAACGTGGTGGTGCACACTTGTAGTCCTAGTACTTTGGGAGGCCAAAGCAGGAGGACTGCTTGAGTCCAGAAAGACGAGACTGCAGTGCACCCTGCTTGCACCGCTGTATTCCAGCCTGTATGACAGAATGAGAGCCCATCTCTATTAAAAAAAAAAAAAAAGAAGATGACAAAAGATGAAGCTGTGGGTGGATTCTCAGAGTGTCTGAAGCACTGGGGAATTTGGACTTTAGCCTGGCGGCGGCTGGTAACAACCTAATGGAGAATACCTTTCAACACAGAGGGGCCTTGGGGGTGAATCAACCAGAGGTGCCGAAAATGCTGCTGGTGAGAAGACAGGGCTGTTCTCATTCTCGGCCTGGTGTTCTCCGTGCCAGTGGTTGAGACCGAGCAGACGGCAGCACAAAAGCGCTTGTCAACACGGGCAGGGCCCCAGCCTCCCCACCCTGGCCTGTGTCATCACTACTCCTTAGTTTTGTGCAGCTCAGGCTTTCCTTAGACCTTTGGAACCGAACAGCCCCAGACACCACTGGGAGACTGTGGAAGACCTTTGCTTCACAGATGGATCAACTGAGACCTGGAAGAGGACAGCAGCTTGTCCGTGACCCTGTGGCAACTCAGGGGGAGCGCCTTGGGCCTCTGGCTCCTTCTGGTCTCCCCCAGAGAAACTGAATGCCAGGGCTGGGAATAAGATAAGTGTGTCACACAGGGTGACAGCATAGGGCCTGCAGGGCCCTGGGCACCTCCTTCCTCCACCCCAGCCGGCACTGCTAGACACACCTTTGAGGACAAAAACTCTGGCTCCCAGAAAACCCTGTCAGCATCTTACTCGGTACATATTTTGAGGTCACTAGATGCCCACTGATGCAAATGAACCATGGATTTCTGGCTACTGATATGTGTACAGATGTTTCTACCTTTGGATAAATACAAACCTCAAAAGAAACAAAGTGGCATGGAGAGGGTCCAGAGTGGAGTCTAAGGACCTGGGCTCTGGTGCCCTCTTTGCCACCTATTTGCTGTCAGAACTGGGATCAGTTGTGCCCTGTCTCTAGCTCCAGTGAAATGAGGTGGTTCAATGAATGACACTTACGGAGTACGCAATCTGTCGGCCACCGTCCTTATGTGTCTGCACCCTAGTCCACGGAACGACTTCTGGGCCTCTGAGGTTCCTTCCACTTCAACAGGCTGTGGTTTGAGAATGTGGAACTTAGCCCTTCCAATCTCCCACGGGGACAGTAATATCTTTAGTCTTAGTAAAGGCATGGTATCTCAAGGCATTTCTTGGTCAGAAGTGATTTCTAGAAGGTACCTAATCCTGGGACTCATACCACCAAGACTACCACCAAGCCAGGTCGGCAGCCTCAGAATCCCCATTGGAGTCCCAGCCTCTGCCCTTAGAGACCCTAGTGCGGTGATTCCAAAGTGGGGCCCGGGAATCTGTATTAAAAGCCTCCCAGTTGCTGGGTGCGGTGGCTCACGCCTATAATCCCAGCACTTTGGGAGGACGAGGAGTTTGAGACAACTGGGTGAGAGCTCGTCTCCACAATAAATCAACAAAAATTGGGCAGGCGTGGGGGGGGCACACCTGTGGTTCCAACTGCTTGGAAGGCTGAGGCGAAAGGATCACCTGAGCCCAGCAGATTGAGGCTGTGGTGGCCGTGAGGGTGCCACTGTACCCCAGCCTGGGCGACAGAGTGAGACTCTGACTCAAAAAAAAAAAGGCTCCCAGTTGACTCTGATAAGACAGATTTGGGAAGCACAGTTTCTAATTCATTCCTCTATCTGTGGACAGGATCATACTCAGTCCAGACTTGAGCTGCCTGGCCTGATTATAAGTGTCTCCAAGCACAGAAACAAATTCAATGATTGATTAATTCAGCAAATATTAAACATCCGCTGTGTGCTGGGCACGACTCCAGGTGGGGACTGTGGGCCCTACTCTGAAGGGACTTCTGGTTAGGCCTGTCACTTATTTTAGAAGCAAGTCATCTATCCAGTGCCAGATGGGTGTTAGAGATCACTAACGAATCCCATCATCGCACAGTTGGGGAAACAGAGGCCCAGAGAGGAAAAGAAACCTGTTCAAGACCACACGGAAGCCGGGCTCGGTGGCTCAGCCTGCAATCCTGCGCCTTTGGGAGGCTGAGGTGAGTGGATTGCCTGAGCCCGCGGTTTCGAGACCCGCCTGGGCAGAGAGACCTCACCTCTACAATAAATCAAAAAATCAGCCGGGCGTGGTAGCACATGCCTGTAATTCCGGCTACTGGGAAGGCTGAGGCGGAAGGATCGCCGGAGCCCAGCCGGTCGAGGCTGCGG